TCAAAGCTCTTGTTGCCTCAGGTATGAGAACAGCAATATTCATTAGTGAATTTTTATTGCTAGGCATGAATAAATTACTAGATATCTGGTGCCTGCAGACAGGCAAAGGAAAAGCTGTATGGGAAAGCTTGGATTTATGACAGGTTCTTCATCTCTAAAAAAAATTCCCTATTTGTTTGAGGCGTGGGTTCTCACATCCTTCGTAGTTCAAATGCAGTCATACCCTGGATCAATGCAATCTTGTCTCAAGCAGAGAGCTGTGATAAATCTGTTCAAATCTCATTCCCTCAGATGGCTCTGTGCCAACAAAGGTGATAATGAATATTTAGGTATGAACTCAGTTTTTTTTTTTTTTTTTTTTTTTTTTTTTTTTTTTCCTGGCAACAAATTGTGTAGAGGTTCAAGTGGAGCATTTTATATTTTATTGATTTACTTTAATATCACTCTAAGACAGTTGTGCTTTCATAGAAGCATTACATGTCCTTAGGGTTAGACCTATTTCTATATGAAGAAGGGACAGCCATAAAAACAATGTCATTAAAACAGAATTGCCATTTCTTATACTGTAGCCAACTGAATAAATCTTCCTCTTTTCCCCAAGTATCTCTGTTCAGGTTTCTCTGGGCTTGTTCAGTTCACCCATTCAAGTGGTTTCTAAGGGTGCTGCTGACAAGGTTAATGCATGGTTCAGTGTTGCAGTGTTGATCCCTGAATCATGCTGCAGCATTAACTGTTGTCATAGAGACACAGATTTTTGAGTCCAAAGGGACAATTTTGATAGTCAGCTCAGACCTGTTGTAAAACACATAGGAGCTTACCAATAAGTAAATAACTTTGCCAAACTAGAGCACAGCTGGGCCCTCCCTCTCCTGTGACAGTGAAACACATTTTGCTGAAGTTTGTGAGATGCTGCAAGTAAAACACCAAATGGGGGTTTAATTTATTGTAAGAGTGATGCTGTCAACACACATTTTTTTTCTGATGAGTGAAAGCCAGGTGCAAGCTTACTCCACCAGATCCTGGTGTTACCGTGATACTGACAACCTCAGAGGGACAAAGAGTATTAAAACAGTAACAGTATTCTGTCTTACCCTCTAGGTAGTGCAGAGAGGTTAGCACTTGTACTTGTAAAGAAGGAGCTAGAGTGGGGCAGCTGTACGCAGTCAGAAATCTTTGACAGACCATCTCTGGATGATATTATTGCAGCATTTTGATGCTACTGTCCCTGGTTGTTTGCCTCCTCCTTCTGCTTGCTCCTTTATCAGCTGTGTGTTGGCACTGATGCCAGACCAGAGCCTGTCGTGGCTGCTGCCAGGAACAGTGGACTTGTGCCAAGGCACTGGGTTCTGAGCTGCCATAGCAGCTAAAGCCCTTGCCAAAGGCTACCTGATACAGCAGAACTAACAGCTGGGGGATTTAACATCTTAAATTGCCAAGCTGACATCCATCAGAGCTCATGTGAGAGTGCCAAGTGTCTGTGTAACCTCCAGCCAAGTATTAAGTCTCCTCTTTCCCAGTATATGCTAATCTGTGAGAAATGGATTGTTACAGATCCCAGCTCCACTGATGAAGCAGTTTCAGTTACAAAATGCCTTGATTCTGTACACAGAAGTTTGCAGTGGCCATCATGGTATTAGACACTGGAACAGGTGTAAAATGTCCGATATAGTCTCCCCATCTTCCAGTGCAGAATTTGGAATAAGGTGAACTGGTTGGGTAAAGCTGTGAAAAATGTGTGTGAAGGAATATGTGCAGCCAAAATGCTCCCCTCCTAAATGTATACATTTTTCTCATTATCAGCCATGCATACATAGCTTCTGCAGTCCTGTATGATATCTTTAGGAAAGCTGTAAATGCAATTTTTTAATGAAAATAATCTGCTGGCTCAATATAGGCATGCATTATCCATGCCTTTTCTGTACTGCTGGAGAGGTTTGATAATAGTACAGCATTTGGTTCCTTGTGCTCTTTTCCATTCCTGTGTCACACAGCTGTTTTGCTGCTATTGGCAATGCCTGAAATCACTCACTGTTAAGTATTATTAAGGAACAATTCTTATCAATTTAGGTTTTCAGGGACTGTCTGGCTAATTACCACAGCATCCCTATGAGGTGAAATGACTCAGTGCCTTTCTTCTCACAAGTAGTGCAATATTCATGTATTCTTTGATAAATTAATCTGTGGAACTTCCAGGTTCCTCTGGAACATATTCCTCCTGTGGCAGGAGTAAGTCACCTTTAAAAACTCATGGAAACCCAAAAGTGAGCCAGGTTGTGTGTGCTTCAGCATTGGTGCTCTGTGGCAGTGCTGCACAGCTGCACAGCTGTTGTGAATGCATTGGGGAGCATTCAGATTTTGGAGGGGAAAACATGTCTCCAGATTGCTTGTTTTAGAAATGGGGAAGCACCCTGGGACTCCCTGAGAAGCCACTTGCCTGCCAACCTTTGTGAATGAAGGAAATCCTGTAGTTCTCACAGTAGAAAGTACTGCTCTGGAAGCTGGTGCCACATGAATTAAGCCACAAAACTGTGCACAGTATAAAACTGAACAAGCCCACTTTCCAGTACTTTGAAAATGGTTAGACAGTGCACAATATCTGTCTAGTGGTGAGAAATACGCTTGCTATTGCAGACTTGCTTAGTGATTTTAGAGACTTGCTTAGTGACCAGAGCACCTCCTTCCCTGGGCACTTTACTTAAGGAATAGTTTTTGTCCTTGGGTTTATTGAATTATTATTGCAGTGGATAAGCCTTTCTATCAAAGAGATTTTTTTTAACAAAAAAAACCAAACCAAACCAAACCAAAACAACAAAACCACCAAAAGCCCAAAAAAAAACAAAACCAAAAAACCCCCAAAAAACCAAAAAACCAAGACCCCCCCGACCCCCCCCCCAAAAAGCCCCCAACAAAAACCAAACCAAACAAAAAAAAAAATTTAACAATTTCATTTTCAACCTAGCTCTGTGAACATTTCTATACTGTCATGATAGAAACAGAACAGAAGCTCGATAGCTGAAGGGTGATGCAGGAGCTGGAAGGAGAGCTTGAGGGTGGGAGTCTTATAAACTGGTTCTGTCATGGAAGCAAATGGCACATGTCTAAGACACATGGCATGAGCAGAGAAGCCTTGGTCATGGCTATCACATCTTTATTCACCTATTTCATTCTGTCCCCTCATTACTCTCAAGGGAATAAGTGGGTACTACTGAGTGCAGAGTACTCTGGACAATTGGCTTACTTATACTCAAATGCCTAAGAAAGAAGCAGGCAGCTTGGCCTTCAGAACTCTATTCTTCCAAATATTATGTCCTGCTTTAGGGCACTCTAGGGCATATGATCTATAACTTTCAAGAATTTTAGGCATGAAGAAGAACTGTGGTGCATTAGAAGGCATGTTTTAGGTGGACAATTGTCAAAGACACCAATGCCCCTGATACATCTACTACTTGAGGGCTTCCAGTAGAAGGTAAGCACATGTGTGCTTCTGGAAAATCATTGAGTTGTTAGTAGAACTGACCTAAATACTCACGAGAAGAAACTGACTCTCCAATTTTCATCTGTTGCAAATTGTGATCAGCTCAACAAGTCTTAACATATCAACATATGTATCTCTGGAGACATGAATTATTTATACAAGTATTCAAACAGTTTTCTTTTGGGCATGTGTGAGTGGCCACATGAATGACACGGTATTCTGTCATTCCTGATTGTGTTAGCATTTTAATTGCTTATTCCATCTGATGCTAATTTTGATTCTTGATGAGATCTCAGTGGTAGTACTAAATCCATTCTCACCCAACATTCATCCCTACAAAGCTTCATTTATGTGAAAGCTTGTGAAAAGAGAGGTATAAACCAGTGAAGTGTTAGTCTGATTTCATTATTTGGGCTGATATATGCTGGCTGATAAATACTTACCTACTTTCATCATCTTCAGTCATGACTGAGCTGGGGACTTCAAATCAACTGCCTCCCAACAAATAAACTAGGTATGTGTTCAATATGAAGGCAACTTCAATATTGTCACCCATTTTGATTGCTGTGGTATTGCATAGATATGTTTCCTCTGCTAATCAGGTGGAAAAGTGACTGGGGAGAAGTGTTATGCACTGTATTTTGAAAATCAAGATTTGACTCATTCTCCAAAGCATCCATTACATGCCTTAATAAGTTTAAGCCAGAAGATGAGCCAAGCAGCAGCAAGCAAGAAAACTGTTTTGTACCAAAATAGGCAGGGAAATGCAAAGCCCAAGGATGGGAAGACAACCATACATCTTAACAAGCAACTTCTTAGGTCCTGTGAAGTGCTGGATTGTGACACTCTGACTGAGTTTTGAACTAGCAGAAAGTGACTGGGGAGATTAGTAGCATGATGGGAAACACTGGGAAGGGAAGCTACATGGCCAGCATAATAAAGATTCTTTTGCAAAACCTTCACAGGCACTTCTCTAACAGCCACCATCATAAAATAAAGAGAAGATAACAAAAATTTGTTAATGCATGCTGTGCTCCTATGTTCATGGAAGACAATGATAAAACTCTCATTAATCTTGGTGCTGAAGGATCAAGTTATTTCCTTTTATAACCTCCAAACAATTTGGTAACAGCAATTGATCAATCCTCCCACCACATGGGACAGATATCAATCCTGATTTTAGAGATGAATGTGCTAAGGTGAAGTAATTAATCCAAGTTCAGCAGTGCTTAGGCACTGAAGATGGACAGTGCTTGATTGCTGTCCCCTGAGCTAATCTTCAAAATATACCCTCCTCCCTTCCTTGGCAAGAGATTTTGAAAGACATCTAACAGGCTTGCATCAACCAGTATTGTGAATGAAACACATTTTGGCTTGTGCATTACAGAAATACATTTAGTATGTTCAGTGTGCAAGTTCACTGAACCCATAGTATTTGAACAACTTGCTCCTGTTTTGCCTAACCTGTGAATGTGGTTCAATTCTCAGCTGTCATTTGGTCAACCCTTTCCCTCCAGTAACTTACAGCTTTCAATTTCTAGTGTGCAGTTTTGTTCATCCAGAGGATATCTGCGTAGATCCATCATGCAAGCTGCTGTTGTTGTGATCCTGTAAGAGGAAGGTGAAAAAAAAACAATGAGACTTGAAAACACATTTTACTTGTTTGAGATGGCAAGATTTTCTTTAATGGGTTTTCTGTTTGTTTAAATACAGAATGGTATGCACTTGGATTCCTGATATGCAGTCTTTATAGAGCTTGTAAAACATGATTAATTTATGCAGCACAGTATACTTGTTACAGCATAAAGCATAAAACTATATGCTGAATATTGTAGAGAAGGATTTTGACTCAAAAGTTTATGTGTAAAAGTATTTTGAAGAACATTGAATGAGATTTCTACTTGGACATATTTTTTTAAATGTTCTTAATTGAGATATCTTCTAATTGTCCAGCAAATTGTTTTATTTATAACTCATACTGCTGATATCTTTCTTTTTCCATTTTGTCATCACTTACTGCTGTTTTAATTTTGTCTGATAGGTATGTGTATTTTCATCCATGCTGTGGAATACCTGATAATACCTTATTCGTTATCTTTCTGCTTTCATAATCAGTTTATCATTAACTGTAATAATTGTACATCATATCTCAAAAATGGCATGAGGCAATCAAATACTAGTGAAATACAACATCATACAGTGCTTACTTCATGAACATTGAGATTAACTATGATTGCAGGCTGGATGTTTCATATCCTTACTTCTTCTAGAGGGCATGTGAGTTGATATTTGGTCCCTAAAGGTATTCTCTATGGCCTAAGACTTTTTGCAAGGGAGTTCTCTCCCTTGTTAGACCATAAATCACAAGGACATTTAAGAAAATATTTGCTAAGTCTGTGACTGCGTGGGACGAAGGTTAAATGACTTCATGAAGATGGGGATCAAATTTTAAAGCTCCCTTTGAGAAAGCCAATTAGATCAGTGTTTTCATACTCACAAAAGTGAGTTATCACCTTCATTTGCCTTTTTTTTTTTTTTTTTTTTTGTGATAGATGGGTTCTTAAATCCTTATATAACTTTTGCAGTTGTGAATGGGAAAACTTGGCTTCTAATTTTATTGGTCTCTCTCCTTCTCTCTCCAAAGATTTATACCAGATAAAGGCAGATAACCTCTTTTCTTGATCTGGATTTGGTCCTGTTGTTCCAGTTCCATGTTAATGAATACCAGAGGAACACATCTTGAGATTTTACTTTTGATGTGCTGAAAGTCAAGCACATTACATGCTGTATTGGGGTGATAATCCTTACTGTCACTGAACTGTCAGAATTTAAAAGGGAAAAAAATGCCACATGATTTATTACTGTGACATGTCTCAAAATTTCCTAAGTCTACAAAATCCAGCTGTCATATGGAACATCTAGCAAGGGCTGTAATAAAAACCAGCCCATGAAACTACTCTAGAATTCTGTATAAAGTACCATGAAAATGGTATGTTTATACCTTTTTTCAGGCTGATTTTGTCACATTAAATAGAAACACATGTGTCTTAACATGCATTTGCCATAAAAAAAGGTCTTCAGCTGTGGTAGGATCTCATTTAGATTAGCCATGTACAATTATACCTTACTGAGAGGCACTGAGAAGACACTCATTTGTCAGACACCTGCTTAATAACGTTTAAGATCACACATAACAATATACTAACATTAGTCACAGTTGAATGCTTTTTAATGAAGGTTTCATAGGTAAATGTTTTGTTCCCAATTAATAAATCAGCCTTTATGGTAATTTACTTCACCTGTATCAACCAGAGTGTTTTCTAAACCACTGTGGTGAGTTTACACTCCCCCTGCTACCTCCTCAGGCTGCTCTATGATCTCAGGGACTTCCACTAGGCCCTGGCTTTTGGGCAATGTGTTGAGTGGTGAAGTGTACCTCGACCATGCCAGAAATTCTTGCATGGCTAAGGTGGGGGTGGCACCCTCTGTACCAGAGACTTCTGCTGCCTCCCCAAGCTTGGATTGCAGCCAGGATAGAAACTCACTATTGACTAAAGCCAAGCATTTTGTGACTCTAAGCAGCTGTTCTAAGAGATGCCCTCTGAGCTCTTCTGGACTGCAGTGGATGCACCTCTCTCTTTAGAGGGACACCTCTCAGAGCTTTGTGATACTTTCTGGACCACCACTGAAAACTCACGGTAGGACCCACACTGACACCCCAACTCCCTCCTCAAGGTTCAAGTCTCACCCAAATAGAAATGATAAGGTATTTAACATTAGTATTTCATTGGATTTGAGGGTGATTTTTAACAGGTATATCTTTGTAAATTTATTTAGACAGAGACATTGTAGATGTTTGTGTGTGTGAAGTGATTGAAGCACACTATAGCAAGTATAGCATGAATGTTGCCATCTTGGATCTGTAATAAGTCATGCATTCTCTTCTGCACCCCTGCACTTTTCTAAACTGTTTCTAATATGATTTTCTTTGTGTGCTTCATCTTTGTAGTAAGTAACAGAGTAAACCTTTCCTTAGCACTTTGTGAAGTTGTACAAATTTATATTAAACCTGCTTTTGCTAATATATTTAACAATGATTTTTGAGTCATCCTAACCACTCATTTGTGATAACCAGAGTTTGAATGACCAGTTATTCCTAATGGCAGGGTATCTGTACTACTGACTTCTGCAGTTTTGCATATTTTACATAAGTTACATAAGCAACAGCAGTTAGCTATTCTTACATCATCAATGCAAATTGATAACAAAGTAGTAATTAATGCAATTGTTTTATCTGAAATTGAAATATTCTACATAATCTTTTCCCCTGAAATTGTAATTCTGACAACTGCATTATCTTCTCCACCAGCCTGCTAACACAATATGGTCCTCCTAAAGCTGGAAGTGCTTAAACTTTATTGGGAATCTTAGGTTTCTATGCAAATAGCTAAGTGTAATTGAAGGAGTGCTTCAGGATTCAGTAATCTTCATTACCTGTAGCTCATAAATCTGCCTTTCAAGCACGTTTCTCACTCCTGATAGAGCTCAGCTGTATAAAATTGTTAATGGCATTATGCTCTGGATAACCACAAAACCTATTTAAGCAGATAAATTAAACCCGGATGAAATCATAGTAATTGTCATCTTGCTGAAAAAAATTAAAGTATCTTATTATAAACAGAGTAAATAAATCCCAGACCTGTTAATGGTTGCACTCTCTCTGGGTGGAGAGAGTAACTGATGGTTTGCAAATGCACCAGAAGCTTAAAAATAAAGACATTCAAATGCAGAATACAGGGGTGTAATGGCAGGAAGGAGATTGCAATACTCTGAAGATAGGGCAAAGCTCCAACAAATCTGTGTTCAAGAGGATTAGACCTGAAAGGCCCTTGGCATGAGCAGTTTGTGGCAATGGCAGAATATAATGAGGCTCTGTAAATGTTTAAGTGGAGGATTAATCCTACACTTGAAGCAGAACTATTTATATCTCAAAGTAGGATGTGTTTCTTCCAGGCTTTCCATTCATAAAATACATTTTAAGTTCAGGTGTTGGGGCTAATTTATTTTGTTTGTACAGTGTCTCTTATTCCACTGTCCTTGCATTCTTTAGAACAATTTGGCTACAAATGCTAAAAATGGGATTATGCAAAGAAGACTAGCAGTTAGGTGGAGATATTTCATTATGCTACTTAATTTCACTCATGTCAGTACTCAGACATTCTGAGATGGGATGAAGTCTGAACTGCCAACAGGCAAGATAAATAGTATTTGCATAAAAGCAAAATCAACTGATTTAATTTTTTGAAATTGTGGTTTGGGTTTCAAGTTACTTGATCCACTGCTTAGCTTTTTCTTTGATGCCTTATTCTCTGAGTATCATATTCCTACTGTATAGTCAAGTTATTTTTTTCTAAATATAAAATTAAATTTTAAAAAACCCCACTGATGTCCAGTATTTGCAAAACTGACTTCCTTACATTATACTGTCAGAAATTTCCCTGGAGAGCAGCAGGTTTTGTAGGGACAAATATTAAAGCTTAGTATTTTGAGCTAAATCATCAACAAGCAGTTAAAGTAAATTCAGACTGAATACAGGAAGTAGAATTATGGTTCAGTACTTAGATAATTTTCTCAATATGCTGTCAAAAAGCTGATCCTCAATTCTTGGACAAGAAATAGACACAATATTTAAGACAGCAATAATAATTAAATGTGAAGATAAGAGCTAAACAATGCAAATTCTATTGTGAAATGTTTCCTTCATTTGGAGGTCAGGTATCAAATTTTAATATGTTTGTTCTTTTTCTGTCAGTCAACAGAACATAAATTATAAATGTACATGAGGATATGAAATGGGATAGACTAATTTTCTTTCCTTAAAAGCTAAATGAAATCTTCAAATCAAATAAAGAACTATGCTTTTTTTAACCACTGCAGGTGCTAGGGCTCTAATACATGCTGGAAGTAGACTTTCATATTCCAGGTAAAAAATTGCTATTATTAAATCAGTGTTAATTTCACTTCACTGGTATCAGGGAACTTAGTCCCCATGGAACATCAGAACCCAGATCAGTATCCCTGGTTTAACTGGTTTAATTTTTCTGAAACTGGAAGAACCTTGATGTTTGAGTGGGGATGTCTTGTAAGAAGAGTTACTGAAGGAAATAGAGGAAGGCAGAAAAAAATTATATTTAATCTGCAAATTTTTTCTCTGTCCAGGCCATGTACAAGGTTTACAGTTATCATACCTGCTGACACCATAAATTTCCAAGCACAGCCCGAGTGCTTGACCCTGGGAGAAATGTCATCTCTGCACCTGCAAACATGCCCAACTTCTACTGCCTGGAGCAGCCTGCTTGTAGGGTGTACATTGAGCATCAGCATTATTAGTTTGGTATTGGGTATTTTATATAATGTTTTGTGCACTTGGGAAGTATGTATTCAACAGCCTGTGTGTTGCTTGTCTGGTCAAATAGATTAAAATCTATGAAATTCTATTAAAAAAAGGAGTTATGAGTATTAATAAAATTGGCAAGGGCCAAAAGGTGAATAAATAATAATGCTTTCACAGATCTCATTGGGAGCTGAGAGAAAGTTTGCAATATTGGATCTTTAGTTTTAGATATGAGTACATTAGCATGTGAAAACTTTTTTATTTCTTTAATTGGAAAACAATTATATTTTAGCTAATTTTCCCGGTAGGACATATATTTGTGACTCTAGGGTGACAACATCAACTGCTAGGTCAGTGCTGTAGACTGCATACTTTGAGATAACACTGAAGTTTATAAGGAAAGCTTTTCTATGATTTGCTTAAAAAGTACAAATACACATTTCTTTTTGATCTTATTCAGAGAAATAGTAGAATTGAATAATCATGACAAAACAAAAAGGACCTTGAGGAAGATGTGTAAAGAGAAATACACAGCTCAAAGACCTTGTAATATTGGGTAAAGTGACCTTTTATACTTAAGTTGCACAAAGATTAGGCAGGAAAAAATGGGTAAGACTATGGGCTTTCTGTTGTATTTTATCAATACCCTGAACTTGTCAGTGTTTGCTTGAATTGCCTCTCTTTCATCTTTGTCCCTTTAGCTGCCCACATTGAACCTTGAATGAAATGTGAGCAGCTCAGCAATAAAGTCAGTTGCCTCAGGTATCAAGGTCTTGAGCTAGTACAGCTGCAGCCAGAAAGGGACATATGGGAAAATTCTGCAATGTTTTTCAAGGGCTGAAACATTGCTTTTAAGGTAAAAAGAGCTGCAGTGGTCAGCGACAGCACCCCCCAACAAAACCACAACAAACTATTGAAAAAAACCTAGAAGAAATAACTAATTGTAGCACTGACTAGTGCTGTAGCACAGTAATGGTCATGGATTTGTCCCGAGACCTGGAGGAATCATTCTGGGTTTGTCTTTCCCTGTGTAGCTAGTAACATTCCTGAGCAGGAATAGACTTGTCAAATGTAGAGGAGGAATACTGGGTTTTCTCTGAGGTGTAAATACAAATGTCTGTTTTCAAGCTAAAGACAGGCATGAAAAGTTAATCTGCAGGGTGTCAAATCAATCAACTGCATTGGCTTGAAATAAGAATGCTAAAAACAAATAACAACTTAATTAAAACATGACTGCTTCTATTGCTCTTTCCATTCTCATATGTTCTCCCCCAAAGCTACGGGGCTGTCTGGCTGTCTGCCTGGGCTGTCATGTTGTCCTGTAGGGCCTCTGAGACACTCCTTATCCCATTCTTATTTCCCGCTGGTTATATCAACTCAACAGCTGCCAAGACAAATGAGGCAGTTTGCCTGAACTGACTATTGTTCTGCAACCAGTTCATTGTGCTCCATGCTGGGCCCTGAAGATAGTTAAACAGCACCATATCAGAAGAGAGTAATGATGAAGAACTGATGAAGACAGCTCTCCCACACAATGAATTTTGTCAGGTTATTCTCATGTCAGTGGGAATATTCACCACCTGTGAATTGTCATGGTCAGGTAAGCTGCCTGAGCTTTGTCTGAGACCCAAGTCCTGGAAGAGTCAAAACTCTATTCCTAAAGAATGTTCTCTGTCTGTCTCAGCAGCAGAGCTTAATCCTGAGGTATATATTCAGTCTCAGGCAAGGGCAAGCCTCTGAGCACAGTATAACATTCACCAAGGAGAGAAAGAATGGTTTGTGACTGTGTCTTCTTATGCCCAAACAGTTACTGGGTCTGATGTGGGATGTCCTAATTGGAGTAAGCATGTGCCTGGTCTTGCTGTTGTGGTCACTTCAGTTTGCTTCAATTAGTATTCTTTAACATGACCCAGGCACTAATTTATCACATCTGTGCCTACAAAGCTAAGCAATGGTCAAATGCTCTTCTGCTAGACAGAAGTGACTGTGAATTCAAAATCTGTTATCCATTTGCTGTTTATTTTTTCCTGTATTTTCTTCCCTTGCTTTTTTTTTTTTTCTTGTTGTTGTTGGTTTGTTTGTTTGAATGATGAAGGGTTGTTTACTGGAAAAGGTCACTGCTGATCTTCCTTTAAGTATTCCAGGTTCAGAAATCTCTTGCAAAACTTGGAGCATATGGGTATTTTTGATGAAGGCTTTCAGATGCAGCACCCTTCGATAATGGTGGCGTGACCTGTAGGACAATACTGCCTAAGAACTGCCTGCGGCAAATGATGACTTCAAGCAGAATTCTCTGTTCCTTCCTCTGGTTTTTGTTGTAAAATGTAAGCTGGCGGTATCATTCCCACCTTTAACTTCACATCTGAATGCAAGTAGATGCTATCAGAGGTGTTAGGCAAGTGCTACTGAATGCTTATGGGAACACTGTGCTTTTGTATTTTGTGTCCTGCTTGGCAGGTTAAAAAAATTTTGCTGCTGGAGCTGTAGAGCACTTTCCCCCCCCCCCCCCCTGTATTTTTTTCACAGTCAGTGCAAAGTAGGAGTGTATCAAAGGTTACATAATATTCAATTAGAGTGTTGTGGGCATGAAAATATTTTGGGGAAGGGGACATCACATTTCAGCTGTCTTGGGAGATTTACCTTGGCAGTCCGAGTAATTGTCAGTAAATTCATCATTTTTTGCTTAATGAATTTCAGCTGCCAGAACTCTGCTTCAGCTACATAGTTACACAGTTAAATAGTTGCTTAGTACTATCACGAAGTAGGGATGGGGTGGGGAAATTACCCAAAATGTAGACAAGCTAACTTGCTGGATTCTGCCTTTTCTAAGGGGAGAACCTGAAACTCCAGCAGAGCAGGGGCAATAGGAGGCAATGGGAAAGGGAGAGCTCACACACGGAGGGCATGAGGAGAGAGGCGGTGAGACAAAAGGTCTGTGAGAAAACATGTTGCTCTGACTGAATTAGAACCTTCTAAAATCAAAGCCTTAAGCCAGAAATGTACTTTTTAAAGATAATTTAAGACCTTTATTCTGTTCAATGTAGTGCATCAGAAGTAGTTCAGAGTAGAGTGAAGATGGATGGTGGAAGAATGAAGATGCTTGTAAATATCAAGAATAATAATAAAAAAATCACTACAATTTTACAGTGTAAATCTTTTAAGTATTAAAAAAAGCTGTGTATTTGATGCTTCTAAGCCAAATTTCAGTGCAATGAGAAATTTTACTGCACAGCTATAAACCCATGAAACTAAATTTTACAATATAAATCCCAAGAGGCCTATAACCATACCAGGGCAACCAAGATACTTCAATAAAAAGTGCCTTTGATTTGGAGCTCAAATTTACTGCAAATAGTAATTTAGTTTGACAGTGCAAGTATGTTGCAAGATAAAACGAAAAAGAGCAAGCCAGATGGGAAGTCTTTAGCATAAAGGAAGGTCCAAGAGAGAAATAAAGTCAGATAACCGTTTTTCAATCTGGTTTGAATTAAAAAAAAAAAAAAGGTGATAAATCTGTAAGTTTTTCAATGTCTCTATCCAAACTTCCTATAAGTGACTAAATGCTAGAAAATCCAGATAATATCCACTGACCAAAACACACTGCTCAGGAGAGAATACAAGTCTGCTAGATGGCAGCAGTGATGTTAGTGTCATCTGGTATGGTCACCTTTTGGGTTGTTTGTTTTGTTGTCGCTTATTTCAAAATAAAACAAAGTTAGACACCAGCATACTTAGACAGGCTTCTTTGGCAGAAGCAGAAACAAGGCCAACAAGGCAATATCTTCCATATGCAGCCTGGTTGGGAAGGCTTCAGCATGTGCTTGGTGAAAACAACTGGTGGTTTCTGGTTTTTTTTTTTGTTTTTTTTTTTAATCTTTGTTTGATTTTGGTTTCCTTGGGTTTTTTATTTTGTTTTGGGGTTTTTTTTGGGGAGTGGGGGAGAAGAGATGCTTTTTTCCTCCTGTCTTGAGTAAGCTCAGAGCAACAAGGCTGACAGAGTTCAAGAAGCATTTTGACAGTGCTCTCAGGCACAGGGTGTGATTTTTGGGGGTGTCCCGTGCAGGGCCAGGAGTTGGACTTTGATCATTGTGGGTCCCTTCCAACTCAGAATATTCAGTGATTCTGTGATCTTTAATATTCCGCAGGCTCAGACTCTGCAGGCTTTTGTTCTCTCCTAGCAACACATCTGCATTTGATTTTACAAGTAGCTGACATGTAATTCCTCACAGTCAGTATCTTGTTGTGCTTGTTTCTTCTGTCTTTAGCTTTAAGAGCACAGTACAATGGACTCTTTCCATTGCTATTGTGCCTTTATTTATGCAATGTTTATAAGGACAGAATAAGTTAAAAATCTCCTTAGTTGACAGAGATGCTCTTTATCATAATGTTAAAACGCTGAATTAAGACTGACGCTTATAAAACAGACCATCTTTTTGGCTTATGTTGTCTGAGTAGTTAAGGAGAATTTTTAGACAAAAACCAGGTTGTTTATGGTGTTAAATTCTCATTTTGTGTTGTTTCATCATAACCTTTCTGTGTTGCATGGCTTCTTGAATCCCAAGAGGTAGTTAGGTAATTTTACTTTTTTTTTTTTTTTTTTTAATCCTTCTCACAGGACAAGAGGAAAATACAGTATGGTATTGCTACGTGATTACTGCATCTTATTTTCTGTTGAATTTCATAGTTCAGAAGTTCTTCCCTGAACTGTTTGGATGATTAAGTCACAATAAATTACATGGGCATTCTTTCATTAAGATAAACTAATAATGTAGAAACGTATGAAAGGCATTGTGTCAACCTGTAGGGTTTTGAAACTCTCATCCCTACATTGTTCATCCTGTATAATTTTTGCTATTATTCTCAAGTCTAGTAGCTAAATAACATATTACTGCTAAGGTTTAGCAGAACTATTTCTTTTCCTTCAATGAACACCTTATTTTTGTATTGAAGGATAGAGTTTGAAACCTTTATAGGAGAAGGGTTTAAAAATGGGTTTGGAAATGTTACATTTTAAAGTTCATATATTGCATCTTCAATTACTTTCATATATTCTTCCTGCATGTAATTTAAAGATGCTTTGGAAGGGAAAATATTTACATATACATTTTACTTATTGTTACCCTTACACAAAGTGCATACCTGGCATACTGAGAAGAACTGTGATAAGTTCTTTCCTTTGATCATTAAACTCCTCTTGCTATGGCCAGGACTTTCTCTTTGAGTATGCTAAAAGCTCTTCAATTTAGCAAATAATTTGCTTATACTGATAAAATTTCCTACAGGTGACTCAGTATAGCAGAAGATTGAGTTATTCCCCGTGAAAGCAAAAAGTCCTGAACAGCACTGTGCAGTATTCAGGCAGATTTACTTATAATCTTGTGAGCATGCAGGCCTTTGATTTTTTCTTAAGAAAATACTTTGATATTTTCACTGGCATCTTAAACATAAGCCTGACATTTTGCCATTAGGAAAAAACAGAAAAAAGGAATTAAAAATGGAATAAAAGATCACTAGTAGTGAAAGCTCATACATATATATCAAACAGCCATCACCTCAATGCTCAAAAAAGATAGAAACTTCCATTGACATTGGGAAAACATTTCCAGCTTATAGGGAGAGCCACAAAAGATCCTCAAAGACTGATCTGGAAACTAAGCCTTATGTCTGTGTCATTCACAACCACAAGAGTGAAATTATGTGGGTACAAAATACTTGTGGAAGAGGCTGCTGTTGATAACCCAGGCAGTTTAATTACACAGAGCTCTGAATGGCTGTACCTGCAGAATGGAGGAGGTAGGGACTACAGTATGGGTTGAAATATTTCAGATGAGTTTTTCAGGAAAGAAAATACTGATGATCTGTGGGTTACAGCAATTGTTCTAACATGTACTTAGCCTGAAATTTGTTGTTTTGGTTAGACAACGATTATTTTTTGGTATTTTACTCTTGCAGTCCTGAAATTCTGAGTTTTGGGGGTTTTTTGGTTTTTTTTTTTTTTTTTTTTTTTTTTTTTGTGTGTGTATGTATTAATCAAATGGAATAAACCTAATTCTGTTTATATGTTCTTTAATGATAACTGTACAATCACCCATCAGTTTGAATTCCTTATATTTAGCAGATAGACTGTCCATTTGAATCATCATCATGAATTCTGAGAATAAGGGATAGTTTAAAGTAGGTTGAGTATTTAACTAATACTAAGTATATGTCTGCTATGCAGAGTTCTCCTTTTTAGTGATTTGCTTATGAGACATTAAATAAGGTTGCATGAACATACTATATATAGCACAATTAAATATTACTGAAACATCTGTGACACACCTTCAAAACAAAACATTTCTCTTTTCTTGTTTTCTCTCAACAGAGTCCCAGCAGGGGGCTCCCAGGTAACAAAAATCTGTAGCAGTCTTAATACACACTTGGTGCCCACACTTGGATGTCAGCCTGTATTTTAAAACCTTCTATAATTTGAGTTAAATTACTCCTTAGAGTAGTCTTTATTTATTTTTTTTTCTTTTAAAGCCTTTTACTTAAAGCAGGTTTTACTTGATGAAGTCTTTTGGCTCATCTTGAAGTGTTTCAGTGGGAATTGCTTTTCCTTGCATCCAAAGGTATAAAGATGGTGCAAAGTTGAAATTGTTGCCTTAGGTGCTGTAAAAATCTGGCTGATACAGGTCCTGTGCCAGTTTAGGCTTAACTCTAATATCCCTGAGATACATCTTGGAATCCTGATGCACTTTAGTAATTCTCTGTAGATGGGTTAAATGTATACTCTGTGTTATCAAATCATATAAAGAGCAGAATTATCAGTCTCAGGTAAAGAAATAATTTTAAAAATGAAATATTGCTATACTTTCTAGAATCCTGACAAAAATTTAAAAGTCCTAATTTTACACCTTTCCATGTACTTCTTTCAGTGAATGACTGAACAGCTGGAGACATTGTAACAAGACAAGTATGACAGCAGCCAAATGTATTTGAAATTATGCCAGCTGGGGTCAATGGAATATTTATTCGGAAATGCTCTGACAATATTTTATTCTCACCCCTCTTGCCATATGAAAATCTGAGTAGAGATTTGTGAAAAGTATTCTTTTCTCCAGAAAAATTTCTCCAGAAATATTCAGGTATGGAAATATTTCTTGCAGAACATTCACGGTTAATAAAATAGAAAGTGAGATTTTTTTTTTTTAATTGAACTCCAAAGGTGTGTTCCAGAGATGCCTTCTGAGAGAAGAAAGTAACAGGAAATGGGTTAGACATTATTTGAATTAATAAAATCTGTGCAATTTTTCTTTGTGTCCCTTGGCCAGGAGATATTAAAATTGATAAATGCAGCATTGAAGATACATGGGTAATTTAACTGTATAGCTGTTAGGCCTTTAAAAATCTGCTAAATATTAGCTCTCATTTTACTAATAAATATCTAGCCTTAAGATATTGAGTCTTTTGTTTGTAAAAAGGCTTGTCAAGAAACCTGAAAACAAGTTTGAAACACCCAACATCTGCTACTAAACCTCAAAATATTAAGTTTTCCACACCAGATTTATTTTCTGGGTTCTTGATTTACATAAATACAATAGGAGCAGGACTGGAAGTAGATTTATACTCCCAATATAGCTGTTTGATCACACTGTCTCACACAGTTTACAAATCCATCTATCTATAAAGACTGTGAAAAATGCTGCATTTGCAGTCTCTTGTGATTATGCTCTCTGAGGTCGCTGGAGAGGCTCTGCTAAAAGAGAAATCAGCAGCATGCACCAGATAGTTAAACCTCCCAGGCCTGAGAAGTTCCAAGTGTTTAAAGTTCCCCAGGTTTCTTCTGCTTGTGCTGTGATCCATGGCAGATGTCAGATTACCTTTTGTACATAATTTATCTTCTCAGACTATAAACTCCTCTGTCTGATGTATAGGACTGATGGTAGTATAAGAGGGCATATATATTTCTTCTTGGATGACTGGTGTCTGGTTGAGCCAAGCCTATTGTCACGCCTGTGGCTTGGAAAAATTTGTCTTTGGCATTTTCTTGTGAATATTAACTACTGGACACTTTGCATTTGTGAAAAACATTTAGTTTTGCAATAAGTAAGTATGAATAATTTGTATGTGTTTTGGTTTGGTTTTAACTATTTTTTTCAAAGAGAAGCTAGATGTAATGAGTGTATATTCCTACTGACTTGACTCTAGAAAGGACCTGTGTGTGTTTTTTCCATTTGTGTGTTTGTGTTTTATTTAGTAATTTGGGTTTTATTTTGTGCCGGTGTTTTCTGTTGTTGCTGTATCTGTGATTTTGTTGTTTGTTTTTCTAACGGAATTTCAAAAATTGGAGCCAGTGTTTCTGTCAGTGGGACATGTTGTGGGTATTGAGGTGGAGACTGACAGCTGTGTTACCCTGACCTGTGGGCAGGTACCTCAGCTGAGGTGAAACCAGCCACTCTGGGTGCAGACAGCGCTGCACCCAGCCTGGGGGAGCTGCAGCTCCTGCCAGATGTTGCTGCCTGATGATTTACCCAGAGATTGAGGAATAGTTCACTGTCAGCTCAGACTCATGTGTAGGTCACTCCCATATACATTCACCTACTATAGGTTTTAAGTGCTGAATGATTTTCAAGTTGCTTTGTCCACGCTTTGACTCCTGCTTTAAGCTCTGAGTAACTCCAGGACTTCTGATATTTCTAAATTCTTCCCTGGAAGATCGTGTCTAATTAGATTTGTAACCCAAAACTACATGAATTATATTTGAAGTACTTACCTCCTGTCTGCTCAGCTTGATTTCCTTATTAATAGTTTTATAAATGAAAGCATTTTATTTGTCACATATTTTGCCTCTTAAAATGAGGCCTGGCAACTATAACACCATGTATGTTGATACTACAGAAGTGCCAAATAAAGAATCTACAACTCTATTTTATGGAGTAATTAATTTTATATTTTACATTTTATTATGCTCAAGGGCTTGGCTATTATCTAGATTGTGAATTCTCTTGCAGTTACTTTTAAGTCAGGCCAATGATATTTGAGAAGAAAGGCTAAGCCTCTTTTTAAGTGGAGATATTTATAGAAGAGTGAAGGTTAAAGAGAAAATATATTGCCAGAAAATACTTTGAATGCATTATTATTTGCATCTTTGCACTGTCCTCAAGAACTGGATTTTTATTTCTCATAAAATTAATTATAAACACTGCATTTGATTGCTGTGGTGAATTAAATCAGTGCAGGTTTGTCACACTAATACCCTTAAACACTTCATATGGCACCAGCCAACCTTCTGCGTGCTGCAGCTCAGAGCAGACATGGCCTGGCTGCTCTGGGCTTTTGAGCAAGGGGATGTTTCTGAGAGCAGCAGCCCCCACAACCTGGCATCACTTACTAATTTTATGTCACTAGCAAATAGGCTGTACCAGCATTTCTTCAGGATTTCAGCAGCTTTCCAGGTAGTGTTTAATAGGAAAGTGCTTGTCTCTTTGAAAGAACACCTAAATTAAGACTCTTCCCTCTTTTCTAAGTGCATTTATCAGTTTGGAGCAGGTCTGGTAAAATACTTGCTGTCTCCCCTAGGACCTTAATTCACCTGCCTGATACATTTATTGCACTGAAATGGCACAGATGTCCTCATCCTATGCCCCTCTGATTCTTGGTTGAGCAATTGTTTCACTGATGTAATGAATCAACATCAATATAAATGAAATGAGAGTTAAGTTAGTTTTAAGCAGCTAAAACTTGTATTTTGTCCTTCAGTATTAACAGTTCTCAGCATGCTTCAAATTAGTAGTAAGTAAATTGGACATCTGCAGCAAAGTACAAATTAAATTACTATCCCTTTAAAATTTTTATAATTAGAGATTTAAAATTTTTTTTAAATTAATGGCTTTTTAGTGAAGTTCAGGGCCTGAAAAACACATATAATGTGGTATGTACCAAATATATGGTGAAGTGAAATACACTAAAATATGTTAACATATTAGGACTCAGCATAGATCTATTTTATGTACCTTACATAGCCTTATATAAAAACACACACTAAATAATCTGTACTACTGAAATATATTCCAGCTGTAGAAGTTAAATAGCAGTGGTTTTTAAAACGTTTTTGCCTTTCTCATTCAAATATTATATATTTATATTATATATTATATATTATAATTATTATAAGTGTTGCAACTGTATATGTCCATTTGGTGTTCCTTGCAAAGTATAAGTGGCAAGAAATGTGTTAAAAATCTAGTATTCCAGGGAAAAAAGCAAATATTATGACATTAGGCAAATTAAAGCACTAACTTCCAGAGTATGCAGATTAAGTCTGTGCTGCTTCAGTGGAGTGTATCTAACTGGCTATGCTGAAACAACAGGAGTTACATGGCTCAGTTCTGAAAAGCTCGCAAGGATTTTCTTTCTGTTTACTCAGTTGTAGGACATCTCTGCACTTGAGCGTTTAGGGTGTGTAGAGGAGAAAGCTGAGCTAGTACATACACAAAATTTCCTTTCTTATTTAACGCCTACCCCCTAAAACCAACTGAAGAAGGAAATACTAGTAAAAACTTGCCTATACTATTATTGGATGAAGTGTTTCTTAGAGTGTGTATATAAATTTATTTGAAATACCTCTTGATCAAAAGTACTTCAGTGCTATTCTCTGTCATTAAATTCTTTTTTCACTTGATTTTTGTCTCCCAATATGTTTGAGCCAACTATAATAGTGTTACTTATACACATTAGAGATAAGCTTTTGTAGGACTGGAGTTCTTTTAAAAGTAAGACAGTAAAAGAATTGAAGAACATTTTATTTAGAAGTGCAATTTTGATGCAGATGAAGTTGACAGAGAAAGAGTAATAATTTAAAAGTATTGGAAGATATTTGCACTTCTGACATGGGAGAAAAGGAGGACTTAGTCAGATTTAGTAGGCAGAACACAGCTTGTAAAATAGAGAATAAGAAAATCATTCAAAATCTATTTATACCAAGAAGGTAGGAGATGGTGTACTGCCTAGAAAATATGTAACCCATACACTGCAATGCATTTCAACTTTAAAATTAAACATTTGTTAAATACTGTCTAATCATTTTTATTTATTCTTTTGATACTAATAATGAGATTAAATAGTTATTAAAAATAGTAATATACTTAAATAGTTGACATACAATTTCAGTAATCTGAATTTTATCTAGACCCTGCTTGAACTAAGTCATCTTTGTAAAAAGCGTAGTGGGCTTTGCACTACAAAATGCTTATTTAGTTTTTCAAAGTGCTGTAGTTCATAGCTGCAACCAATTACAGCATCTAAAGCCTGTGTTGAAATTCAGGCCTGTGAAGCCAGTTGTGTCTCCAGCAGACTGTTTAAGTACTTCAGCTACTGATTACAGGAGCCAGTGCTCATATATTTAAAGCTGAGTCCATGTTCAGTTCTTGTGTGTTTCTGCTGTTTTTTTAAATAAACTCTCTACAGAGACCAGTTCAACCTGAAGTATGTCCTCCTCTTCTCTCTGTATTAAATCAAAGAAATTATAAATAATTACTTGATTTATTTTTGCAAAGTTCTTGTATATTTTTAGGGGCTAAAAATATAAAGGGAGTCCCAAATTGGTTCTCGTGAGTCTTAAAATGCTCACTGCTAAATCTTTTGCCATTGATGTGTGGAAGAAATATTTTCTAGGATTTTCAAAATTATCACCTAATAAAATACTACTTTATAATTTTCTCTGTGTTTTTTCTGTAGTGAAATAAAGTGTAGCTTTTTATTTCACTATAGAGATGACATGGATTTTTCTCATTTAGAAAAACTGCAGTCTTTTTTTTTGGCTGGACCTATTTAGTAACACAAGTAGGACAATCTGTTGAGTACCAGTGTAAATTGGCTACTTGTTGCAATGATGGGTTGTCCTCAAAAGGACTCAATAACTGACTCTTTAAGGAAATCCATGAAGGTGTTTAGAGGAAAGCCAAAACTCTATAATCCCAAATCACGGCAATGCAAAAGCAATCCACAAACTATTAAAATTTCACTGCAATAAAAGATGTAAACAACTGTTTAGCAAATTCCTTTAATAACACTCTCAGCTATATTGCCAAAATTAACGTAGTAAAAAGGTACATCTTCACTTAAGTTTACTTTCAAGATCATACTAAAACGTAAACATTCTGCATGGAAATACAGCTTTTCTTGCATTCCACCTCAAGGATATGCTTCCATGGATATTGCATGAATAAATGGTTAGTAAATGCAATGTTAAATGGATCACTTCTCATTTGTGAATTGGCTGGATGTAAGTGAATTTGTCTGCCAGTGTTTGCATCACAGAAAACCTTCTTTGTGTAAGAAGTGGTGAAATAAATCCTTATGTTGAAGACAAAGATTATTCTTCCCCTTGTCCTCTTGCAATTGTAGCAGTGCCTAGCAAAGTGGCATCCTCTGCTGTAGCAGTATAAAAATGTGTGGTCTCACTGAAACCAAAAGTTTTATATGCTCCAATCCAGCTCTTCACACCTTGTCATGATATGCTCAGTCCCCCTGCCTTGAAATAAAGAATTGCTCTAATCAAAGGTGGGTTTGTGTCTGAACATGAGAAGAGAGAGAAGTCTGTGTAAAGGCGTCGCTGAAGGTACGTTACACTTCTTAACGCCTAACTCTGCTGAAGGACATCCTCCTTCCAGCACACATGAAATTCTGCTGTTGCTTATTGTGAGGCAATGTCATGATACAGGAACAGATGTCTCCAAAGCAACACGGTGTCATTTTTCTGCTAGTGAAAATCTGAGAATTAAGAGGTGGCATAAAATACTAGCAAAGGATGATTTAAATCAGAGCTTCCATTCCTGACATCATGACATAAGAATCTGAATACGGAATTCAGTACAATAAATTATTAATGGTTCCTTAAATATCTCAAAGACACATTATGTGTCTAGCATCTTCCTTGAGAAAGGCAGAGAAAGGAGAAGCAAAAGAATCAACAGTATTTATTGGTTTAAGATTCTGGAGCTTTGGGAGAGATTTCCAGAGAATCTTGCCTGAATAGGGAATAAAAGTAATGAGAGACACTGCATCCAATGGCATCCAATCACTTGTTAAAAATGGGGAAATCAAGGGGAAAAAAAAAAAAAAAAAGAATAATCCAGTATTTTACCAGCTGTACTGGCACCAGGCTGGCACTGTCTCATACACCAGCCTCACAGTGCTGCTGCAGGTTTGCACATCGACTCAAAGGGATTTTTTACTTTGTCTTAGGAAGCAGATGGCTATACCACAGAGAATGATAATAGCTGCTGGTGGGAGTACTTGACAGAAACTGAAGAAACATAATCTTCAGGTAGATAATAATTAACAGTGACACTCAACTTCCCTGGGATGGTTGAAATGAGATTCAGTGGAAATATTGCCATGGAGTTAAATGTGTTTGTGTATGTAGTTCTTGGGTGAAAGAATAATTTGGTTTGCAATATTACACATTTTTTCTACTGTGAACAATTAACAGAACTGCCTTTTGAAGCAGGAGACAAGACATAAGAACAATGTGCAATTTTAGAGGTCAGAAGGTTTAGGAGTATTCTCTCTCTGCACAAGTTCATAGCACACATTGTTCTTTAAGTTGTGGGGACATAGCAGCTGAAAGTTACTGGATAAAAATAGCTAAAGGGATTGTTGAGTTTATTATAGAACTAATAAAATAATGGAGACATAGTGAAGTGATAATGCTTTGTTACATGATCTAAAACCACTCCAGTGTATTATGTGCATGTTTCCCCTGTTTATTCATCTGTAAAACCAAATGGTTAACCTTGGTTTATTTCTCCTCAGCTCTGTTGAGGCTGAACGCTGCATCAATGACAAACTGCTGGGTACATGGGTGCAAGCAAACAGGTTATTTAGAGCTGTTATGATTGTTCCAATTTCTGTTTAAAGAGGCCAGTAAAATTTCATAACTGAGGCTGAATGGAAATATTAACTCTGGACTGAAAACAGAAAAGCTGTCTGGGGAACAGGAGGGCATGAGGGAAAGGAAGCATTTAAATCATCCTTGAGATATGGTTAAAGACCCTGACTAATTTGTGAGGAACTCGGACTCTGGTTGTAGCATAATTGGTGTTGTTTTTCTTGTTCAAGTCATGCTAGGCCAACACTCTGTCTTCAGCAAATAAAATGAAACTTGCAGGTCACAACCCATGTGAGAGGTTTGGTTTTCATGCTCTCTACTGCACAGATGCTAAATCAAGGTAATATGCTGCACAGTTTCTTTTCTGCTTGTGAGACTAGATTGGAGCTGTGCTCAAATTTCTGAATGCTGAATTTTACCTAAAAGTATTTTCTGCAGTGTTTTCTCATATTTTGTTTCTTACAAGGCATGTATGTCACCTGGAATATGAAAAAATTGATGCTTACATGAATTAAAGGTAACCTATAGGCTGACAGAAGCATATTTACTACCATGAGGAAAGTGACCACTCGTAACAGATGCAAGTTTAGTGCAGTAACTGCCATGTGTTGCATTAAAAAAAATTAATGTATCTTTACTTCATTTTTCTTCTGCTCATTTGTTATTTTTGTCTTTGGTTAGAGCTTTTTTGTAGGATGGGGACACTACATGTGTTTTTACTCATAACTACAGGTGAAAGTCTGTTCACCAGATGTGCCTAAACAGCTGCCTTTTCTTGGAGAAAACATGGTGCATCAGCTTGAGCTGTGAAAAAGACCTGACAGCTCAGCATCTCTTCCTGCATGCAGCTGGTGGTGGCAATGCTGCCAGTGTGTATGGGCCCATCTGGCAATACTTGGCCTTGCTGCACCCTGAGACCCTGCTGCCTTCCCCGGGGTGAGAAGGTGGGGAAGCCCAGCAACATGGGAGAGTTGGAGGTTGCTCCTGTGGCAGGGTGCATAAAGGGCATGAGGCAGGGTGAGGGAGGAGAAGGAAATTGCACAGACCTCAAGTGAGTGGAATGTAGAGCACCTTTTATATTAGTGTGGGACTTCCTGCCTTGTTTTGTTTTGTTGTTTGTTTTTTTTTTTTTTTTTTCCTACACAAGCAGTGGGTTTGAACAGGGAATTAACTTGCAGGGCTGCAGCTGTTGCAGAACTGCTGCTTTACTATTCAAATGTAAATGGTTATTCAATCATTTTCAAACTAACAACCTTGTTATGAGAAGGAGATCATCTTTGCTTGGTTTAGTTTTAATTTTACAGTTGTGTACCTTATCATTAGATCATGCCTGTTCAAACTTTAGGATGTATTTTTATCTACAGGGGTAAATATGATTTGCACTGTATGAAGAAGCAGTTGTGGAGTGAAGAAGCAGTCATAAACCAAGGCAGATTAAGGAAAACCTATACTCAGGCACATAGATAATATTTAAATAATTTATGCAAATCTACAAATATCTCCTTTGTATTTTTTACCAAATATCACATTTCTTGAAAGGACTCCAGATTTGAAATTCCTATAGTCCTAAAAAACTGCTAGAGAATTTTAGAAGGAAGGAAGCTTTTGTGTAAGCTGTGATTGATTACCAGGTGAGAATCATAATGAAGAATTCTAATAGTTTTAGCACACTCAGAAGAGCTGAAAGAAAGAGGCATTAGGCTTCGTTAGCTATGGCTGTAGCTGTTAAAGGTAGTGTTGCTGTTCTGTGAAAAATCGTTGGGTGTGTTGTGGTCGATTAAATGGAGTATGTGATGGCTCATACATGAGAAATCAGGAAAAAGCATAGAAAAGTGGCATTGATTCTACCCACAGTTCTGCCAGCACAGACATTAAAATGCCCAACATACCGTAGGCCATAAAGGACTGTCCCATCTGGATGGAGCCGAATCATTCGGTTTTTCACCGTCACCCCATGGACAAATGATTTCTTGTCATTTTGGAAATACGTGTCCGGCACCCAGAGCTGGTCAGCCACTCTGTTGTCCAGAGTTAAGTTCAAAGGTATTCCAGAATAAGAGAGCCTTTTATCCCTCCAGGACTGCTGAAAGTACATGGTCAAGGTGTAGTCCTAGGGAAGAAACAAGAAGGGCTTTTTGTATTTTCATACTGATTGACTGACCAGAAATTTATTTTCAGATGAATCTCCATTACTGAATATCAGTAGCAATAGGAAACTTAAGGAGCATCAAGGCATTGTTACCATCAGGCATGATCATGAGTCTTGGCTTGTTCATATTAGTGTCAAACTTGACACTTACCAGTGGCAGCGATGACACCAGGCTTTCATAATCTCTTGACCCAGAGGGAATAGATGGCACATTTGGGTTCCAGTCTGTGGATCAAACTTGGTTTCTAATTTTTTTTTAATGTGAAAATAGCAGTGTTTACCTGAGCTCAGCCAACTAGCATTGCATAGCTTTTAGGATATTTTTCTGATATTTCCTCCTTCTGATATTCCCTCCCTTCACTCTGAAAGATTCCCCCTACAATCCAGAAAGGCCTAGCCCTCCTCAGAAAGAGCACATACAACCTCAGAACTTAATGGATAACTTCCCATTCCGCCTCTGCTGGAGTTGCCAGATGTAATGACTCTAGATAGACAAGCATATCTCGTCTCAGCCTGGGAAATGTGGTGCTTTCTGTCCTTGCCAATTGGATTTTACTGTACAGAAAATCAACAACTTGGCTATCATGTTATAACTCCAGTGAAATACCATTTATGCAGCCTTTCAGCTTTCATTTTGTCTGAAAAGAAATTGCTCTAAAGGCTTGTAGTCTAATTTACTCTCTTGTATATGTCTTTCTGGGAAATAGATGATTTTAAAGGTAGTCAATTTTTTAAGTGGAAAAATTCATGTACTTTGTAGCTCATGGAGTTCTTAAAAGATGAGCAGAAGAGCAGTATGTGGACTATCAGTTTTCTCTTTCTCATCTCCTCCCTCAGCCTTGTTTTCAAGTGACAGGTCACTTTGTCACATGTTTTTATGGTAGAAGTGCATCAAAATCATGGCTATTACTGAAAAAAATTGGTCTGGTCAGAAGTAAGATTTTCTTTTATGTGATAGAAAACCTTACCTCTGTCATTGTCACAAATCCTGGCCTGGACTCTAATTCTTGAAGGAACAGCATAAAAGCTGTCTGATACAATTTGTGCTCTTCATGTACAGTGGATTCTTAAGACTGTATCATTGCCATGAAATCAAAGCAGAGTTACCTTCCAAAAAGAATTTCTACCCGAAATTTCACAACTAACAGAGCTATAATACAGACTTGCCAGTGAAAGTTGTTAATAAAAATACTGTTCTTCCTTGCCCTGGGCCAGTAGTTTTCTTTGGGTTTTTTCTTTATGGATCAAATACCATGATTGATGATCAGCAGTTACATAGAATAGTACAATCACATCCACTGTCAGCACAGACCCCAGATTTGCAAGGATTTCATAGACATGCCCTTTTTCAGGCCTGCAAATTGGTTGCTACCCACAATAGACACAAGAGGTTGTATGCTGAAGGTTTGTTCAATTTTTTTGCTGGCCTGGGTCACTAGGAGGAGGTCAGAACATCTTTCCTTTTCAGACCATGCTGGTCAAGCCTGGAACCACAAAGTAATACAGTGGGATATATGCTGCACTTTGCTGAGTAGGTGATTTAATTTAAATAGTGGTACAGAGGAGCAGGAACACCAAGGAGGAAAGTTTTTGAATGTACAACTTGAATAGAGGTGGGTTAGAAGCAACACTTAAAAAAAAGTTTACCCTTAGCTCCTCTTACACATACAAAGATCAGGTGGGAATTGAATGAGAGAAAACAAAAATTAAAAACAGAACCAAAAATCAACCAAGTGTGAAAGAACAAAACAAAACCCTCATCCAACACCACAAATGCCCCGTAAGCTCCCACCACTATTCTGGCACAGTTTTCATACATTTTATCTGTTTCCTAATCTGCCCTATTTCAAATCACTTTAGATAAAAAAGATTTCATAGAGATGACTGATAAAATTCAAACCCTCAGTGCTGCACCTGCTATCCTCTACATCTTCTGCCTTATCCAGCAGAGCCTTTGTAGCCTGCAGCACAGATGGAAGAGAAATTCCAATTATACATAATTATCTTTTCTTCTTCTTGCTTTTCTTTATATTTTCACTAGGCCTTAAGGCTGCTTTTGTGGAATTTTTATGCTGTTGTACAGAAAACCAAACAATTGAGAGTGATGTCTATGTTATGCTTCTCGAAGCTCAACCAAGAGAAGAATAGCTACGGTAAGCTACAAGAGATCTTAAAGGATGTGATCAAGTGAAAGATACAGAAATTCTGTCTCTTCACTGTGACTACTAGAAGTTGACTTGCTATTTTTAGCATCATAGTCTGTTAAAAAAATTAGTTTCATCCAGCTGTGCTTTACACAAAATGCTGCTGTTGGCAACACCACAGTAGAGAGAGTGATCCTCTGCAATTGTGCTGTACTATGGAGAAGTACATGACAAGCCAGCAAGTGGTAATGAGGAAAAAAAATCTGAGCTTCATCCTAAAGGAATCTGAGTTTCCTAACCAAGCAAATTTTCTATTTTTCAACATTCCTCAGTCCGTGGGCGTATTATTAATTCAGTATTTAAATAAGAAAAATAGTCCGATGTCACAATTGTGAGAGTCCCTGTTGCAGTAAATTCATATTTCAAAAAGCATAGTCAAAGACTGTTTTAATGAAAAGCAAATTATAGCTACACTATAATAACCCAAATTTTAGTTATCAAATTTCTAATTGTTTTTTTAATGGAATACAGCCTTACCCTTCTCATCTCTCATTGGGAAAGCATTAAATGCTGGCAAGCCATATGGCTAGCCACATCATGGAGGTTCTTGTATTATTTTTTGTATTGTACAGTGGTGTGAGTGAAACGAGGATTTAATGACTACTTGTCTTCTACCATGTAAAATTTGCTGGGGATTTTGCGGTTTCAAGCTCTAGACTATACGAGTAATTTCTGAATCTGTCACATCTGTAGTGGTAATTGGCTGCAGAATTTTTTTAGCTTCTTATGAAAGCTTCCCAAGATCTCAAGCATAAGCCTAGATATGAAAATAAATCACACTGTATTTGACTTTCATATTTAAAAAATCCTATTCATGAATTTAAGAAGCAGGGCCCAATGTAAAATTAAAAAAGAGAATCTGTTTTTGCACCTAACCGTTCTTTCAAATTATTTATTTTTAAAAACAATTATGTTTTATAGAAACACAACATTTTTTTTTTTCTAAACTGTACTTTTCATAATTTAAAAAATCCATAATTCTCCTGAAAAATCATGCTATTTCAGTAGATTTAATAGTGCTGTTTAGGTATCTGATCTAGTTTCCATTTTCTCCGTGCCAAATTTTGTTTTACTAATATGAGTTTTTTTTCTCTTCCTTAGTAATTCTGCAAATGTCTTATTTCTTTGTATCAAACCAGAAATTTGTAAATGTGTGTAGGTAGATGTGTACTATAACTTTAAGTAAATCTGTATCAGTGCTTTAATAAAATGCATTAGGTTGCTAAGAAAAATACTTACATGCTAGTCGTAGGTAAGAGACTTTCTGTGAAAATGTGAGTAGGAGAAACTAATCTATTTAACTCAAAATTGAAAGCTATTTTGTAATCTGAATTTAAGAAGCCTCATAGATAAATACTGGTACCAAGCCTCACAGTATAAATTTCTCAGTAAAGAAAATGAATGGACCATAGAAGCATATGGTACTTGAGGTCAGGAAGGAATAGAATGAAGAGTTACTGTGCAATAATAATTCCTTTTTAAATTCTGTTTATTTTTTTTTTATTTGAGTAAGAATAGATAACGTAATGGCAAGAACAGATTTAATTTTTTAAAATTCTGTACACATCTGAAACCAGAAGAGATACATTAAAATAACTGAAGAATTTGGACTTGCTGGTAATTTCTACTTTGTGATTTACCAGTTCAGTACAACAGAATATAATATGGAATACATTGCTATATTATAATCTAGCCTTCTGAGACACACAAAACTAGAACTTCACCATGTTTATCAGCTGAATTATGGATTCTGGTGGAATAAAAGATGAGTTCACATGTCTGCTGTACTTTTAGTTGCTTTTTCTTTTACAAAGCCTGTATTTTACAGAGAAAATAGGGAATCTTTTAATGTGCAATGTTCAGCTTGGTGGTCTAAAAGACCTTTTTTTTTCCCATTTCCAAGATGGCCTTAATCTAAGTTCTGTTGTCATTTAATGAACTGAACAGCAGGTTAGCACATTGTGATATATCTCAGTAATAACTGCATATCAAAACACACTCTGAAAGTCTGAACAGATAAAAATGAATAATGTGGATGCAGTTATTAGCAAAAGTTAGCAAATCAAATAATATTTTGTGAATATTTAGCTGTTCTAGGTCAACACCAGGCATTAGCTTTCTGCATGAGTTTGCATAGCAAAATGAATACATGAAGGGCACCAATGTCATGTGTCTAATAGACAGCAGTGTATATTGGTAGTTATGAGACAAACACTATACACCCAAACAATCTGAAATTCAAATTTTATCCTTGGGAATCACCCACTAATACAATATCTGGCAGCCTCACAGAAAATGAGATGCAATGAAATTCAGATATGTTACAACAGTCCAGAGAAATGTAACTGAAATTGCAATTTAAAATTAAATATGGAGTGATAATCAGAATACTAACTGTGATAATGCCATAAGTGCAGAAAAGCAATATATGTAAATCCTGCTGTGACTGCAAACTTATTAATTGGGAAAGAGTATTCTCCATGTTTATCTGATGCAAGAATAGGAAGGGCAGATTTTGAAAGAATGGCAAATATATAAATTTGCAAATTATAAAAAATTGTACTCATTCCTATGTTGCAAGAATGCTAATGTATCAGAAGCAGCTGTTGTTCAGCAAGTTAATTGTTCTACCTTGGAACTCCAAGGGAAGCTCTATATCCTCACCTGCAAAGGAGCTATTCTATGGTAAGAGGACACAAATGGTGATGTGGGGTTTTGGGTTTATGTTTGGAATTTATGTGTGCTTTGTGTTGGGGT